TGCTCAATCTTCTGCAGGCATTGGAATATTTACTTGAACTGCTACTTGCCATGAAGTTTGTAAGGACTGACTGTGTTTTGTTAGAGTTTGCAGTGTGCAACAAAAAATTGTATTTTGTATTTACTGAAGAGTTTTGTGATTTTTCTATATGTGGGTAACAAAACCGTCACCAAAGTATTATACTTATTTATAAAGCAAAATGTTGTTATATAAATTTGAGGGTGTCTTGTTTTTGCAGATAAGGGAAATTTTTATGTAATGGATATTCTTGAAAATTTTAGACATGTTACTTGAGAAAAATATATTTCCACACTCCCATAAATTCATTCCTAATAGACGTATTAAAGCTAGAGTTGTCAAAAGCTGTTCTTTATTCATTCCAGTGATTTTAAGTCAATATATTCTACATGCCAAGTCTACAGTAAGTGATAGTTCTTAATAATTATAACTATATTTGTTAAACACAAACTCTTAAGCCAAGCACGTGCAGTGCATTATCTCACAGAATCCTCTTGTGGGATCAATCATATTATCCTATGGCCATTATTATTATCCTCATTTTATTTATTCATTAAATAATACTTCCAGAGTTTCTTCTTTGTTCTAGTTAGGGAAACTGAGGCACACCAATTTTAACTAATTGCCTAAAAATTGCACTTATAGTGACTGTTGGAATACAAATTAAAGGACGCTGATTTCATGATCCATTGTTGTAATTATTAACATGATAAAAAATAGAATATATAATGACAAAATCTTAGAAAAGAGAAATTAGAAAATCTAAGTGAAAAATAATTTCACATTTTATATGACTGAGGCTATTTTTAGAATATGAAAATATTTAAACTAGGTAATTATATGATTATTTAATGTAGGTGAGTTTAAATCTGAAGCATTCTAGAGAAAGCTTATTAATATATTTCTCAGATAACAGCTTTTATTAAAATCAAAATCGTGTTTTGCCAAGCATTCTTAAATGAAGGGATTAGATGAGAGTAAATCTGAAGATAATTTATTACTTCCCTCTTATCTAACTATTTGAATATCAGGCCTGAAGACATTACAACCTGGATGAGGTCAGACAAATAGGTAATAGAAAAGCAAAGACTCTAACCCTGTTCTCTAGCCAAAAATCTTCTGTTTTGTTTAACAAATCAAAGTTAACCTAATACTCATATTTTGGACTCGAACATTATACATTTTTATGAGACAATTAACACCTCAATAACTCGGCATTCTAAATTAATTATGTTTCTATTCCACTGGAATCATTAGAGGTAGTCATTAGCATATCAATATCTGGTTTTTTCCTTCCTCTGCTGTTCCTATTTTCAATTCAGTATCAGTCTATTTCCTACCTTGTCTATTCCTAGAGCAGCCTTCTGAATGTCTAACCCATTTGTAAGACAATACCTCAACTGCGACATGATACATTGCTTGCGAGGTTTTACCTGTTACTATCCATCTCACTCTCCTTTGTGCCCCTAAATTTTTACCTCACTACTTTGACACACTCAAATTCTGCCATATGCCCTTTGTGAGCCACTAAAAAAAGTGTCAGCAATTATTATTTTTGTCTATCCTATAGCAAGTAACATAGAACCTTGCAAATAATAAGTAGAGTTTATTAAAGTTTATTTCAATTTACATCAAATCTATATTAAGTACTGTTTGATAAATTGCATATTTCATATATAAATGACTTGAAGAGGAGTGCATCATGATTGGGAATCTGAAATGACCATCTTTAGAATTCTATATAATTATTTTGCTTTATAACTTGGTGTTTTTTATCTTTTAAGGTTTCATTTTAGTTTTAAATCTGAGGAGTTTTTATAAAGCTCTGAAGGCATAGAATTTATAAAATGATGTAAGTGTTAAATGTACAACACTTTTTTTGGAACAAATGCTATTTTATCAAGTTATGAGAGAGCAGGATATAAGTTCTTGATTAAAATTCATTTAGTGTGTCATCTGACTGAATGTACTTAAAAGAAATCTTTGACATGTTGATCAGATTAAATTGATTTAATCTCAGCTGAAACTTAAGTTCAGCGTTAGTCATGGATAATTACTGTCAGAAAGGATATGTTCTAGCTATTCATTTACATAATATGAGCCTTCTTTTGGATTGCATATGAATTAATTAAATTTCCTTTAATTGTAGCAACTACATGCAACATGCAGCTTCTAGCTAGTTCATTAACTCCTAGAAAATGGCCAATATCCTAATACAAATATCTGAGCTGGAGTACAGGCTTTGAGAGGAAAAAATTAAGAAGAAAGACTCTAGGAATGCAATTTACCAACCTAGATATATGAAAAATGACTCCATTTTTAGCAGACATTCCTCCCCAAAATGAAAACTACTAATTCAGTTAGCTAACTCATTTGTAACCAAAATGTAAAATGATCAGACTTTCAATAAACATTAGACTCATTCCTTGACAGTAAAAAATTATTCTCTTGTTAAATCCTAAACTATTTGATGGCAAAAAAACAACCACTTAGAATTAGATAGTAAGAACACAAAGGAAATATAAGGTATACAAATATGTGAGTCAGATTCCTGACAGTCACATCTTGGACTCTATAAACATTAGATCAACAATTGGCATAAATACTGGCATAAGGATGAGGAAAAGTATTTTCCAAATTGAAATCAGTCATTATTTTACAGTCACAATTGAAATAATTTTCGACTTTTTTAAAATGGAATGCATTGAACATTAGAAAGCAATAATACCAAGAGAAAACTTTGCCCAGTATTATATCCACCTAGCTGTTTGTTTTTCTCTATCTTTCCTTAGTTAATTCTAAATACTTGCATTATTTTATGCTTTTACTCATAGCTAACCTTCTCATCTTTTCCCTTTAAGAGCATTACCTAATTGTTTACCTAACCTTTTACTTGTGTTGTATTTATTTTAAATATAAAGTAGAATTTCAATAAATCAAAGACCCTGAAGTATGATCCCAGAAACAGCAGTGTAATCATTGCATGAGAACTTGGAAATATAAATTTTGGGCTACACATAGTACAGATCACTGAGTTAAAAACTCTGAGGTGGCTTGGAGGCTGAATCAATGTTTTAACAACTATACTAGGCCACTTTAATGCATGCCAAATTTTAGGAACTACCACATTAAGTATATTTTACAAAATTTACTAAAATATTTCAGTGAGTTATCATATAAAATAACACTATATCGAGAAGATCTATTCAGAAAATTATGTATCTTTTTATTTCTTTTAATTTTTTTAAATTTTATAGATTGTTTTCTCAATAATTGGAACGTGGTATCAAAGTTCAAATACTTAAAAATTGCTTTTGAGAAGATTTATTCCAATTTATACCCCTATTAAAAGACATGCTTTAAAAAAAAACATAGTTGATAGTATTGGTCTTTTCTTTTTGTAATATTAAATTTGCTACACTCCATTTGGTAATACATGTATATAGTAAAGTAAACTGCTTTATAGGTTTCATTTAAAAACAAATAAATATGATTTTTTAAATACTTGTTCAATTGTATATATCTGTCCTTATGAAAACTAGTCTTTAAAAAGGTAGTTATAATAATAATAATAATAGGCAATTGAATGGAGTTTTACATGTGCCAAGCCCTTTAATTTTGATAATCCTATGAGAATATGGTATTATTCCTATTTTACAGACAAGGAAACTCGGATGTTTAGGTACTTGCCCAAGGTCCTAAAGGTTGTAACTGGTGGGGTTATGGTTTAAACTCTGGATCAGAATCTGTGTTCTTAATTATTATGATGTTGTCATGTGGAGAGATGGTTTTAAATCAACAAGCTAAAATTATACACTAAATACCTAAGAAAATTACTGTAGTATATTACCTCACAAATCTTTTCATATGTGTATGTATATACACACATGCATACGTATGTATATGTATATATTATATCTGTGTGTTTTTATATCTTATATCTGTGTGTGTTATTATATCTGTGTGTGTCTATAAATATATATACTTATATATAAATATATAAAAATAGATATGACATATCTATTTTAATATATTTTATAATTAAATATATTTATAATTAATATATTAAAATATATGTATAATTAAAATTAAATTAATTACATTAAATTAAAAATACATACATATATATTTTTAATGATTTTTTTAACTTTTTTTTTTTTACTGATTTTTTTTTACTTTCCAGTCAGATAAATTCTCAAAGGATAAAAGCCAAATCTGTCTTAAAAGTGTAGTAATTCAAGCTGATTAGTTTGGTTTTAGTACAAGACTGCTGGATCTACTTACTCTTTTCTGATGCCAATGGAGATTGTTAAACTGAATATGTAGCAATAAAATTGAATTCTTCATGATTTATTCATTTAGTTAAGAAATGTATTTGTAATTGTCCAGTGGCAAAGGTCAAACAAGAAAAGATCAGTACCAGAACCCACCAAGAAGTTTTCAAGGCACAATTATTTCCCATTCTTATTTCTTGCTTTATATACATACATGTCATTTTTCCTATTATTAATGTAAAAGTTGACATTTATTTAACATTCACTATATGACAGGGAAGTGATTCCTGTGGATTCTTACATGTAATATTTTGTACAACTTTAGGAGGGAGTCCATACTATTACCATCAGTAACAGATGGGACAACTTGGCACAAAGAAGTAATTTGTCCAAAGACATATAGCTAATAAATGGTAGAATCAGTATTTGAACTCAGGCAGTTCAATTATGGAGATCATGTTCTTAAGGACCACACTACTCATTGAAGAGGGAGAAAAGAGCTCCACCACAGGGGGGTAGGAGGGAAAGACTATTGAGAGTATTTTCAAAAGGTCATCTACCTGTCTAATGCAAGTCTCTTTTGTACTGAGAACAACTGAACCCTGATTATACTATATTTCTCATAGACTTTTCCTTATTTCATATTTTGACATGCACGTATTATTTAAACATATAAATGCAAATGATTTTCCTCTTCTTTGTCTTCAGGATTCCTGATTCAGGATGGTGCTCTGGGGTCTTGTGAAAATAAATACTGTGGTTTGGGAAGGCACTGTGTCATCAGCAGAGAGACAGGGCAACCAGAATGTGCCTGTATGGACATTTGCAAGAGACACTATAAACCTGTGTGTGGATCTGATGGAGAATTTTATGAAAACCACTGTGAGGTGCATAGAGCTGCTTGCCTGAAAAAGCAAAAGATTACCATTGTTCACAACGAAGACTGCTTCTTTAAAGGTAAATACAGGGTGAACCTAAAGTGTCACCTTCTATTCCTTTCCTTCTCTCAACTACTGCCTTTAAGTTTAAACTGTAGCATGATTTCATATCAGCAAGTATTTAAAAAGAGAAAGAAAAAAATGTGAGTTTAATTACATCAATAAGCAGTAAGTATATAGAAATGTACATGGACACAATTCTGAATCTCAATTACGAGTACAAAGTTGGCCAAAATATGACTCAAATTTAATATAGCTTTCAGCATTGCACCATATGGCTTCCCAATCATGGCAGTTATCTTAGGACACAGGGAGGCCAATTCAGCCAACAGGCCAAATCTACCCAGTGAAAAGCACCTGGAGTGGAATTGAGTGAATAGTGAATGCCAAGCCATGCTGGGATAACATCTCATTTCTTCCTGATTAAAAACGATGGGTTTCAGTTTGCACCACATAATTTGGGTTAGATGGAACCCGTAAATGTCCATTGAAATAACCCTGAAGAACTCTGCTAAATTTACATAGTAAATGTGGGATTACAACAACCTAAAACCTAAAAATATTGGTATTTATTTTCATGGTACCCAAAACCACTGGTTACTGTTTATGAAAAAGTATTGCTGAATTAGTAATTTTAGAAATTATTTTAATGTGCTATATAAGTACATAAATCATTGAACATTTCTAATGTTATTTATTCATAAGCCTATTTTGTCTTTATGTTCTTAAGTCTATTATGTCTTATGACTGGAGAAAATATTTGCTTATTTATAGTCAAAACTCAGACTGAAATTCTGAGATGTTAAATATACAGAACATTCGAATAGGTTGGTGATCAACCTGATTTCTAATCTTCACTTGGTTCCCATCCCATTTTTTCAAAACTTTCCTCAAGTTTATTTACACCTAAGACTTTTCTGATATTAAGCAAAATGGTTAAAAACTTTCCTTTCTCAAACATGGTAGAATAAATAAAATATTATTTCCAAGGTGATAATAAAATGATATACAGAGCTTTTCAAATGATATAAGGTGAAATACTCTGTAGTCAGTGTGGCTACTAGAAGCCCATTGATATAATTGAAGTAAAATGTTAATAGTTTCTTTACGACCGTGAACTAGGTGCACCTTGAATTCATGCACAGAGTATTTTATGATATCATGTTCTCTTCTTGTACAGAAAGAATAGCATATGTTTTGGTTTCAAGTTCAATTTATTCCCTTCTTCTATCAAATCTATTTTACAATTAACTAAAATTAATTCTATTAGCAATGTGCTTTAAAATTCATGGAAGAGTATGTGTGTGTGTGTGTGTGTGTGTGTGTGTGTGTGTGTGTTTATTCTGTTATTTCGACCTAAGATGGTACGGTAACAATATTGCTGTGCCACTGATGCATGACATCATACAACTATATACATAATATTCTATTAAGGTAATTTAGATACATTCTCAAAATGAGGTTTTGTCCAACTGACACCCAGCAATCAGTTATGTGAAAACATGATATTAGATATCATGAGAAAAAAACACTTGGTATATTCTAATGTTCAACTTTATTGCTGGGTACTTAGGCATAATATAAGTCAATGTGTATATCAGCACAGACATAGATGAACTGGATATAGCTAGGAATCTTTTCTGCCCTATGAGTTCACAAAACAATGGTTTGAAAAACTTTTGTCTTTCAGACTTATACTGAGTATATTTATCAAATTTATTGATTTTTTTCAAAAGACTTTCTCATCATATGTAAGTCAAAATGCTTCTTTAACTAATTACACCTAGTATTAAAATTTCATTAGGGGCGGCTGGGTGGCTCAGTGGGTTAAAGCCTCTGCCTTCAGCTCAGGTCATGACTCCCAGCGTTCTGGGATCGAGTCCTGCATTGGGCTCCCTGCTCACCAGGGAGCCTGCTTCCTCCTCTCTCTCTGCCTGCCTCTCTGCCTACTTGTGATCTGTGTCTGTCAAGTAAATAAATAAAATCTTTAAAAAAATTTTCATTTATATTATCTGGGTTAATTACCAAGGGTTTATGCATTACTCGGGTCTCAGAATTTGTGTCTTTGGATTATTTATTTTGGGATTTTGCCTAACACACGTATACCTCACAAGAGGAATTTATTTCAGCAGAAAGGAACTAAGTGATGTACAACCAAACAATAAGTTACCTGTCTTACTGGTGTGCAGTTGACCAAGTTTAAGGTGCAAAACAAGATTCATGACAGCTAAATGCCTGACATGGTTAGTTGTCATGGCCCAAATTAATCCTTATGATTATGAACTTTATTTTCCGTAGAATTTCTGCAATTATATAATGGCCCAAAGGAAGAAGCAAATTAAAATATTAAGTTCAAGAACTGCTAAAAACCTATGTTTAATTAGATATTTAATAGAAAAAAAAAACAAACTAAATAACAGGAATGAGTTTTCCTCCAAAAAAATTTTTGTTTTTAGATCTAATAAAAGATAATTATGCAAACCTTAGAATAAGAGTCAACAAACAAGAAACTAATGGCCAAACTCAGGTTACAGTCCACTTTTTTTAAAACAATGTGTTATTGGAACAGAGCCTCAGCTATTTATTTAGGAATTTCCTTTGGATGTTTTTGCAAAATGAAAGGAGATTTGAGTATTTATAACAGAGATAGTATGGTCTGCAAAGCATAAAAAACATTTTGTCTGGATCTTCCCATAAAAAGTTTGTTAACATCTGCTATAAAAGATTACCAGTGCCTTAAAATTAATTTTTAAAAATACTGAAAGTTCTTCTCTATGTCTTCGTGGTTGTGGTGTTAAATATAGGGACCTACTCATGTGTTACATTACATTAAACTCATGTCCACACACAAATGATTACATATAAAACAGGAAATCTGAGTAAGATCAGTGGGTAGTGTTAAAGATAATATCCTGGTTATGATATTGCACTAAAGTTTTCAAAATCTTACTATTGGTAGAAACTGGGTAAAGAGTACATAGAATCTCTATTATTTCTTACAACCTCATATGACTCTACAGTTATCTCAAAATAAAAAGAGTTTAATAAGAAAAACTACTGAAAATATGAGCAAATAAGATAATTTTAAAGAAAGTGCGGTTTACATTATTCATTAATTATTTCAACTTTAAGGTTAAGTCCTATTTTACATATCAAATTTATCAGGTTAATGTTTGTCATTTATATTACACTTATTAAAATGAGTTATATCTATATAATCATGTTTATGATTATATTAAAATTAAGATTAGAGCTCAAGTTAGGGAGATTTATATCTATATTTACTTTTGCATCTTTATATCTATGAATATATCTATACCTACAACTGTATCTATTTCTCTCCCTTCTACTGTATGTGTTAAATATCTAAATACCTCAGTAGTGTGCTTAGCACTTGCTATTACTAACTCTTAAATAGAGACAATGATTCACTAAGAATTTTCTTTAGTGATTTATGATATGTGGAACCATAAATAAAACATATAATAGATCTAAGAATATAGCATCTTTAAATTCATTTCTATTCACATTTCTGTGATTACAAAGAAACTGACTATAATAGGATATAGAATATTACAGTATTTTTTTACTGGCACCAAAAACTTTAAGATGATACTTGGCGTATGTTGGGGAGGAAAAAAGTTTTTCTATATTCCTATTCTTCTGGCTGGCCTAATAATCAAATTGACATGAGACAGGTAAGAGGAGAAAAATAAATTCAATTACATATACATGGGGACCCATAAGAAAATGAGACTCATTGACAGGGAACTGAGGTTTATATGCGTCCTGAAGTAAGAAGAGGGTAAGGGTCTGGGACTTCAAACTGGAGAAGACAATCCACAGGGAGATGGAAGAGCAGAAGTTTGGTCAACAAATGTTTGCTATGTCTTGCTCAGAAGTTTTCCTTATGTTACCAAAAAAACAAAAACAAACAAAAACTTCTATAATAAATACTACTGGTACACGCCGCCTTATCTCAATTCTTTTACGCAGCTGAGGGGAGGAGGGGACCAAAAAGGTCTTCATGGGTCTGTAGGGCCTTTGTTGTCTTCAAATAAGATTGTCTGGAAATAATCCTTATGCCAAAGTGACACATTCTGAGGTGAACTGTACTGAACCCCATCACATAGCATAAAACATTCTATTTTTGTGTAAGGCCGAGCTGTTCCTTGTGATAGCAGTTTTGGCTTAAAGTCATTTCCTATCCCCACTCTACCCCCAAAGGGCTTCTCGCTTCTGCAATTCATGTCATTAATAACAAGTATAATTTTCTCTTACCCTTACTCTGGGTCTATCTATCTTACACAGCAGAATTTATTTACTCAGACAACAGGTATAAGCTAGAGTAAGAAACTCAAGATATAACTTGTGCCAAAATGAGTAAGGAATTAAACCTTTTATGAGAAAGTCAATTGAACAGAAACCCTTTTGCCATTTACTGTGCTGAGAATAAAACTGCCATAAAAGCAAATGTTCTGTGCCCTTAAATGTGCATCACAAACAATAACAACTTGGGAAATATGGTTTTTACGGCTATGTGTGCACTATTTGAATGAGATCTGACATTGTGTTCTTTTTCTTTGGTATGATTTGGAGAGACATTCATATTCCATTTTTTAATTGGTTCTTTTACCTGATTTTTTTTTTTTTAAGACAGGATTCCAGAACTTGAGCTAGAAAATTAGGCTGCCGATGATACAATGCTATTTTAAAATATAACTGTAATTATTTTGTTAAAACACATGGGATTTTAGATTACCTTTTCTTTTTTTGAAGGAAGGCTTTGTAAAGTTTCTATTTTATGTTTGTCTTTTATGCCATTTCATGAAAAATAGTAACCTTGATAAATATTTAAACTGTGGAAAGCAACACCTAGATATGTGTTTCTTTGCTTTGGTTTGGGTTTTGGGCAGTATTAGCCAAGTGAAACTGCAGGATGGTAGTGAAATTAATGAATTGGACGACTACAAATTAATGAATTGGACGACTACAAATTGGTTAAGACCATAACATACA